AAGAAGAAGAAGAAGAAGAAGAAGAAGAAGAAGAAGAAGAAGAAGAAGAAGAAGAAGAAGAAGAAGAAGAAGAAGAAGAAGAAGAAGAAGAAGAAGAAGAAGAAGAGATTGGATTTATATGCCGCCCTTCACTTGGAGTCTCAGAGCGGCTTACAAACTCCTTTCTCTTCCACTCCCCACAACAGACACCCTGTGAGGTGGGGCTGAGAGAACTCTTGACACAACTGCTCTTTCAGGAACAGCTGTGCTAGAGCTTGTGACTGACCCAAGGTCACATCAGCAGGTGCAAGTGGAGGAGTGGGGAATCAAACCCGGTTCTCCCAGATTACAGTCCGCACACTTAACCACTACACCAAACTGTAGAGGTTAGAGGACTGGACTAGGCCAGTCACACACACACTCAGCCTAACATCACAGGATGATAAAATGGAAGAGGAGAGCCATTTTGGTCCTCACTAGTAAGAATGGCAGGGTATAAATAAAATATTATCCATATCTTTTTGGTGGGTTTTTAAATTATTTAAATACTGTAGAATAAAACTAATACAAGGGATTAAAGAATAGGTAACAAGTAGGTGGTTTGTCAATTTTTATTTTCAATCTAATGTCACCAGTATACATTACATACATTGAACACTTCCAATGCCTCTAAAGCAGTGATTCTCCAACTGTAAGTTGGGACCCCAAAATGGTTTATGATTACTCTTGCAAGTGTGTTATGAGGCCAGGGTTCAGGAGGTGGATGAACTGGGAGAGGCGCCTAGACCACTAGTGTCTGTTTCTTTATCCTGTAAGAAATGCATATGAAATATTTTATATTTATAAATACTAAAAATGAAAAAATGTACACTTATTCAGGGTAAGATGGGAAAAAGGGAAAAGTTCTGCTGTAGTGGAAAGAGAGAGCTTTTTCTTCTCTTCCCACAAAATACTAGAACCACAAGTTTTCCTTTGAAGTTGGCAGGCAGTAGTTCAGGACAGACAAAATAACAACATTTTGACCACTTAAACACCTGCCTGGGTGCTTTCCATGGGCATTCCGTTGGCCACCAATGTGTGATGCACTCAGTAGTCTTATCTAACACGGCTCAGTTTATGCACTCATCTTAAAAGTATTCGGCTTGGCTTCACAGTTCTGGCCCGGCTACCACATCATGTGGTTGCCTTTTCCTAGCAAACTAGTTGGGCATGAATCATAAATCCTAACTGTGGTCTAGCAGAAGAACAGTACTGCTGGATCAGGCCAATGGTCCATCGAGTGCTGCACCCTGTCTTGCTCAGAAACCAGCTGGATAACCCCAGAAATCCTACAAGTTGGGCACCAAGATCAACAGCTCTAGATGAACCACAGGCAGATCTCAACAACTCACTTCAAGAGAAAGTCTTGTAAGTGACCTTACACCCAATGCCCCACCTATAGATC